TCATATTCTTTCTAGCAGAATATCTTGAGTGTAAAAGGCAATTCGCAGCTTATTTCAGGCATTATTCAGGTGCAATATCAAATGACAAGTTTCAGAGGCAGATCAGTGCTCAGAACAAGTGGCAACAATTGGTTTTCCAAGCTTTCCCACCAAAAGGCGCCAAAATTCAAATTTTGAATGTGTTAATCAATTAACCTATTTGCAAGCAAAAATGGTTAATCGATTAACCTATGTGATTTTAGTCTAGAAACTTCAGTTTTCAGCACTACATCAGTTGCAAGTCCATTTTGATCACTTGGGTTCACATTTGCATCAGTAGAAGGATCTAAAATGCTTTCAAATTTTGGTTCATTTCCAAATTAATTTTACTTTCGCTCCAAAATTCAAACAATTCTGCTCCTAATTCTAGATTAAAAATCCAAACCTCACTTTCACTTCAAACCTAGAGCTTATTTAAGTAAATTTGCTCCAAACCTCACAAAACTTCACTCATTTGTTTTTATTTCTCTACTCTTCACATTCCAATTCTCTCAATTCTCTCTCACTTTTTTCAATCTCCATTTTCATCTTCAACCTTCACTAAAGCTCTTCCATTAGAACTCTCAAATTCTTCATTGAGATTTGTTAATTCTACAGCTAAACCTTCATGATTTACTCTCACCAACACAAATTCTAGTGTAGAATTTAGCTTAGATCTAGATCTAAGCTTTGGAAGTGCTTTCTTGAAGTGATTTTGGAAGTAATTTTGGTTTCAGTCATTTTCGCGCGGATCTTCAATTTTCTTGCTAGAAGCTCATTGGATCTTCGATTTTCTGTGCTTGATCTGTCAAATCATGTTTGCAACACTAACAAAAGCAATTCCGCGGTTTATAGATTGGTAATTCTTAGATTCAAGCTTATTCTAGCTTATTTACAACTTTTACAATGTAGATTCATTGATTTTTTATGTGAATTGGTCCATTGATTGATTTAGTTGTTGATCTTGTTGTTTGATGGATTCAATTGGTGTTTGATTGCTATTGTTTGATGTAATTTTCGTGTACAATTGCATGCTCTAACATGTGGATGATTGGAGAAGTGATTTGTTGCTAAAAGTGCTTTTAAATTGAAGATTTTCAGCTTCTGTTACAAGGTTAATTGATTAACCATTTGCAAGGCAAATATGGTTAATTGACTAAGAACTCATTTTTGCGTGTTTTTCTAATTTTCAAAGGGTTAATCGATTAACCATTTGCAAGGCAAAAGTGGTTAATCGATTAACACTTATGCTGAAAGTGATTTTTGTGCTTTTTCAAGCTTGTTTTGATTCCTTTCGACTTCTAAACCTCATGGCTTTGTATGGTACATATTTGTTGAATTTTTCTTGTGCTATTTCACTTCATTTTGCAGCATGTATGTGATTCTTCGACACACGACGCATTGATTTTCATGATGCATGTTCATGACTAATCGTTTTTCATTCTTGATGCATTCTTCATGTGGCTTGCTTGTTCACACTTGTTGGTTTGCTCTTGATGCTCATTTTTCTTGATTCATAATACATTATTTTGCCTATACTTGCTTGCACATGTTTAGAAATTACTCACATTGTCACATTACTTTGAAAACTAAACACAAATCCCTTCATCTCAATCAAGTGTTATGTGTACCAAATATGGAATCTATTTTGCTTAATGTTTCCAAAACTATGCAAAACTAACAATTGTTCTGTTAAACTTTCCCCCTCCTGTTTTATTATGAAGGACTTGAACTCGGGTCAAGCTCTGCTTCAAGGACCAATTAAACAAGATCTCTACCAATTTCGATGTCAAATCACTCGTCACAACAATCATACAACATTCAATACCAGCCTCTAGTCCATCTCAAAACGACATCACAAACTAGGACATCCCTCTTAAGCTATTATGAAATATCTGACAGCCAACCATCAATTACCAATAAAACTCCCTTCATCTCATGAATTACTTCTTGTTACTGTGCAAAATGTCACAAATTACCTTTCTCAAATCACCATATTAGAAGTACTAGACCTTTAGAACTCATTTATTCAAGTGTATGAGGCCTAGCTCCTATTAGATCATTAGATGACTATCTCTATTATGTCATTTTTATTTATCATTTCTCAAAGTACGTACGGTTGTATACTATGAAAACCAAATCAGATGTTTACAATATTTTCACTAAATTCAAAACCATTATGGAAAAACATTTTAATTTTCCTATACTTGCTTTATTTTCTGATAATGGTGGAGTGTTTGTACAAGTAAAACATTTCTTGGTAACACATGGCATCTCTCACTTAACCACACCTCCTCACATACCTGAAAGCAATGGTAGTGCTTAAAGACAACACTGACACATTGTTGAGACCGGTATAACACTGCTACATCATTTTAAACTACCTCACCAATTTTGGAGTTTTGCTTTCAACACAACCACATATCTCATAAATAAAATGCCTACCCCCAACCTTCATATGAAGTCGCCTTGAGGTACTATTTAACAAACCACCTGATTATAATAGACTATAGGCATTTGGGTGTCTATGTTTCCCTTGGTTAAGACCTTATACCAAACATAAACTACAAAATAGATCTTCTCCGTGCATTTTCCTCGGTTACTCCTTATCCCAATATGCCTTCCACTACCTTGAACCTGTTTTTGGTCGTATATACACCTCCAGACATGTCAAGTTCATTGAAAGTCAATTCCTTTACTCTACTTTAACTAGTCCAACCACCCCATCAACAATAATACATCCCATTGATCCCACCCTCCATAAAATCATTCCATCACCTATTCAGATACAACCTGTCCAACAAGAGATGCATTCAATCACAAGCTACACACCTAATGATCTTGCTTCTCCATTGGTCCATGCATCATAACTTCCGCTTGGTCAAGCTGACACAACATAATAAGGTACTCACCTTATTTCCTCTTCATCCACGCCTTTATCATTTACTGTTCCCCCATTTAGTAGAAATACTATCATTACACGTTTCAAAAACAATATTTTCATGTTGTGTTTAAACTCAATGATATAGCGTTCATAAATTATTTATGTGACATTGTGAAAACGGACTAATGTAGTTTTTGTTGGGTAAGCATAATGTAAAGACCACTTTAATTAGATTGTCATTTTTTATATATATTCTTAATATAGATTCTAATTTTGAAAATCATATGCATTTTAAAAAATAAATTGTATTGATAATAATTAATAAGATGACTAACATTCTCAGTGAACTACATGCCAAAACACCAACTTCTCATATGTTTTGTGATAACATTGATGCCACATACTTGTGTTCGAATCCAATTTTTTACTCTTGAATGAAACAAATTACACTCGACTACTATTATTGATCTCACCTGATCAGAAAGGAATTAGTAGTCTGCCACGTGTCGTGAGTTGATGCCTTCACCAGTGTTGTAGAGGAGGAATGAGGTGTACCTGCAAGGTGCTTCGATGCTTAAGTGAGTAACGAAGTTAGAGAGAGAGAGAGAGAGAGAGAGAGAGAGAGAGAGAGAGAGTACAGAGAAAAGGTGTAGTGAACAAGATACTTGACCCTCTAGTGAAAAAGGGTATTTATAATGTGCCCCCAGCGCAGGGCCAACAGTCACTTTGCATTGGGTTGGATCGAAAGGCCCAATACGAGTAATTGTCAGGGCTTATATGGCGTAGAAAAGACCAGCACGTGGTCTTCGTCTTGGATCAACTGCCCCTTGATCTTCGGAAGGCGGGCTGACCGGCTCTTTCGAAAGTGGGTAGTTGTTTGATGACGTGTCTCCACGCGGGGGACACGTGGAGAACATGGGGGAAGCGCGTGAGATTCTCCGTCAAGAGAGTCTTCTGTGTGCTCGATAGAGAAAATTGAACCTTGTTGGGCCCCATCAGCATAACACTGGGTTGAACCTGTCCGGATGAGGAGCAAGTCCCGGCCCAGTCCAAAACAATTATGTTGATCAATTTGTTTAATTGAATCAACTCAGTGTGTCTCACCTTTCTACCAAAGATCAACCTGCAGATATTCTCACCAAACTTTTGTCTAAACCCAAGTTCAACTACTTGAGAGACAAGATTGGTCTCATCAACTGTAATCCCATCTTGAGGCGGCGTAATGGCAATTAAACATAATAAATTGCATACATTAAGTTCACAAAAGCTCAACAACATATCTCATAAATACCTTAATTGAAATATTGGTCTTCATATCAGAATATTTATTATTTATTGTATTGATCACAACAGTAATATATTATGAAGTTTTTTTTTTTATATTTATTTTCTTACAATCACACTAATTAGTGATTGTCTATTTGTACCTAAATAATATACCTTGTATCAATTTCTCAAAATAGTACAATAAAATGGATTCTTTTAATGTTCTCATGTTTTTTTTTCTTGTGTGCAAGTCTCCTCTTTCCTTTCAATATTGTAACTTTCATAGTCTTCTCTTTGCATAATTTTAATAAATATCACAAAATTGTTTATAGAATCTACAATCAAATTTTAAATTATTTATAACGACCACATAAATATTTAATCCTATTTTTTTCTCTTCATATTATAAAAAATCCACGTCTCTCCGAAATACACCTATCAAAGAAAATTAACAGCCATCTTAACTATCAAAGAAAATTGACTACTCACAAAAGTGGTCTCACATAGTGGCTAGTGCCTAATATGAGAAATAATTTAGTTATTATAACGAACTACTCCTTGAGAATTATTTAGGAAAACTTTCCTTGAGAAGTATTAATTATGTCATAACTCATAACTTATAACAATCACATCACATGGTTACATTTTCACGCAATAATTAAAGTCCCTCTAGCCTCAAGAAAAAAACAAAGTAGGATTAAGCATCATCCCTTTTCAAGAGGTCATTGGCAAGCCACACTCTAACTCTACAAAAGCAAGGAATAGGAGTCACATAATCAATTCAAGAGTCTTCACACCATTTCCAACATCAGAACTCGTTTTATTGCTAGCTATGCCGATCATCAGAAACATTACAAGAGAATACATTGGCATGCCAATAAGATGCAAAGGTTCAACTTTCAACTTTAATTTATATACTATTACAATTACTCATATGATATTAATCTGACATGCATGTTGTTATTGAAATGGAACAGCTGCAATAAGCAGAAAATCAGGTGAACCTCTTGTTATAGAAGAAATTGAGTTAGAGCCACCAAAATCATGGGAAGTAAGGATCAAAATTTTGTACACATCTCTGTGCCATTCTGATGTCACTTTTTGGAAAATGAATCCTTCTGTAAGTACAAACAGAATTTAAATCTTATATGAAAAAGTAGTAAAAATGATTATTAACATTTCTAATAATTTTGTTTCAGTTACCTGCGGCTATGTTTCCAAGAATTCTCGGACACGAAGCCGTCGGGTAATTAATTAATTAATTAACAATCATATAACAAAATGAATATTTCTTTTAAGATTTTTACGCACAAATGTGCAGAGTTGTGGAGAGTGTAGGAGAGCACGTTGAAGAAGTGAAAGAAGGAGATTTAGTTGTGCCGGTTTTTCTAGCAAACTGTGGAGAATGCAGAGATTGTGAGAGTCCAAAAAGCAACAATTGCAGCAAGTTTGGAAGCGGACTAATCGCTGACATGCCAAGAGATGGAACAAGTAGGTTTAAGGACATGAATGGAGAAGTGGTGCATAATTTATTTGGCATCAGCAGTTTCTCTGAGTACACGGTGGTTGATGTAACACATGTGGTTAAAATTCGCCATGATTTTCCTCTTGATAAGGCTTGCTTGCTCAGTTGCGGTGTTTCCACAGGTAACATATATTATTCATATTTTCTATATGGTGGCTTTCCTATTCACGTATCTTCATGACATGGAGGATATCTTTATAACCATGTATAATAATCTGGATTTCGTCTATATCTGAATGAAGAATCTTTTTTATTAGGCAAGAGTTTTTAATAATGCAGGGTGGTTTTGTTTTATTTGGATATGTTTGCAGGGGTAGGGGCGGTGTGGAAAGTGGCTGATGTAGAAAAAGGGTCCACAGTTGCGGTTTTTGGCCTTGGTGCTGTTGGTCTAGCTGTAAGTTTACACCACAGATTTAGATTTTTCTTTATTTATTAGGCAATAACAATAAAGATGCTTTTCAAGTTGATAATTTAGATCTAATCTTGTCTACAATAGGCTACAGTTGAATTGATTTAGATCTCCCATTAAAGTTAGGGATATGAATGAATTAGGTGACTTTAGTTATGTTTTAAGAGAGAGAAATTCATGGTGACTTTCTGTCCATAAAGTCACCAAAACTCTACCTAGATAGAGACTCCTAAGTATAAGAAAGGTTATGAATCAATGTTAAAACCCAACAAATTTTCAATGTCGATGAGAGGTTGCAGAACGAAGAATAATTTCAACCGATTGGCAAAAAAATTTATTGAACCAAAAATTTTGAGAATTGTTAGTAGGAAATTATTGTCAATGGTATAAAAGTGTTGGCAATGAAAATATTTAGAGGTTGGTTTCCACCAAATTATTTTTTATAAAGAATGTTTATATATAGCTTCAGATGTTTGAGAAATAGAATCCTTATTTCTCTATCTTTGATAAAATCTATTGCCTTTGTAGTGATAATAGAAGGAAAGATTTGAGGTAGGATCTTAAAAATGATTTTACATTCTAAGTATTAGACTATGGAAATATATAAATAATACTATTAGAGTGTATTGTAAATGATTGCTCATTATTGTGGGAAAATCATTAAGATATATAAGTTTGATGTGTATATATTAGTGATTATATCAATGAAAAATGTACAACCTATATTTCTAACATTGTATTCCCTTTTTGACCTAAATTCATATCGCACCCCTCCTCCCTCTCTCTCTCTCTCTCTCTCTCTCTCTCTCTCTCTCTCTCTCTCTCTTTTCTTGAACCATTGCTAAAAACAAAAATTTATCCCCCACACGTACCCCTTTCCGCAACTCATCTACTCTCACTCTTCATTCTCAACCCCACGCCTACTCCCTCTGCTCTTATTTACCTTTCTCTAATTGTTCCCAACATCAGCAACTTCATCAAGATCACGTTGACTATTGAAAAGGGACAATACACTGTGTGGTTTAAACATTTCGAAATCCATACACGTGTATATCAAGTGCTTGATCATATCCGTCCACCTTCACCCATTATTAGACCAACGACCCCTTCACTCGAAGAAACAAGTCCCCTAACTCTAGTTGCATCTTGATGTCGTCGTATTGTAGTGGATATACGACACCATCTCCAATGATCTCCTTAACACCATAATAAAACATGACTCCATTGTGGAACTCGCTTGCAACATGTTGTTTGATATCTTCTATGAAAACAAAAATTCTAGGACTATCTACTTAGAACAAAAGTTTTTGTGTACTATATGGAATAGTTCCTTGATGCATCTTCCTACCATTAACAACTTAAATCTCTCTCTGATAAACTCTAATACGGGAGTTCTTATTTTTATCGAGTATTTGGTTATTCAACTCATTTTATCATTGACTTATGCCTATGCCACGACAAGTTCACAAATTCATCATGACGACTCTCTCCACCATTTTACAAGGCGTGCTCCATGCTTATTTTGGAGGAAACAACAATAGTGAAAAAGGTTGTTATCTTTATTCACAATTCTCCCTTCATATCTCACAACGATCCATCAAATGTGCATTCCTTTAATTGTAACAATTACAAAGACAATAACATAATTGCGGTAGAGGAGACAATGTTTGTGGCAAAGGATGAAACTATCGTTGCTTTCAGCATCAGATATGAACTTCACCGACATATCTGAATCGGCAATAACAATGGACTTATACACCATATCCCACCCAACATCAACAATGGACTTTCCCATTATGGCAATTAGTTCACTCTACCAAATTCGTATCCGACAACGGGTCTATCTAACAAGCAACCTGGAATTCTTGGTCCAAAGCGAGTCATCAAGCTCATGTTGCAAGCACTACACCATACCAAAATGGTCACCAAGGATCATATTCATATGCTTTCATGCACATTCAAGTTGTTATGCATACCTTCTTTATCTCTCTTCCTGATGATCAATGGTACATGGACAACGGGGCTACATCTTATATTGTGGAAAACAAAGGTAATTGCATGTCTTATTCAAATATAAGCAATACTATTATTGTTGGAAGTAGTCATAAATCATGTTATTGGTTGTAGACATGCATCATTACCTAACTTGCAATATCCTTTAAATTTAAACGTGTTACATGGCCCTAAACTAATAAAAATCTTATCCCTATCGAAAAATTTAACATTGATAATGATATCTCTGTTGAATTTTATCCCCTTGGGTTTTTCGTGAAGGATTTTCAACCACGAGTGATTTTAATGAGATGTAATCGTTTTGGTGATCTCTACCAACTTATCATAAGATCTTATACTACAACCCTACCACCATTTACCTATGTCGTGTTATTTAATCAATTATGGTACAAGTGTTTATGACACCCTGGAGAACCTATCTTAATCTCACTACTCTGAAACAATTTTCTTAAATGTAATAAGTTTTAGAACAATTTCCTTTGTCATTCATTTCCACTTGGGAAACAAATAAAACTTTCTTTTTTTAGTTCTTTGCCTTATGTTTTACTACATTTTTATATTTTGCACAATGATGTGTGGACATCACATGTCCTTAGTTCAGTAGGACACCTTTATTACACATTATTTCTTGATGATTTCACGAATTTTATGTGGACTTTTTCTATACAAAATAAATCTCAAGTTCATTATATTTTTTTTTCTTTCAATTTCGAGCTCACATTTAAACACAATTTGAATGTGAAATTAAAATTTGTAAATAATGGAAAAGAATATGATAATGCTATTTTTCATAAATTTTGTGAACTTAATATAATGTTCAATAGATTTCATGTCCTCACACTTCCCCTTAAAATGGAAAAACTAAAAGAAAAAACTGTAATGTCAGTCATCTCCTCCTTTCTTGCCCATGCCTTTGTCCCACCATCTTTTTTAGCACCACGCCCAACAAATGACTATTATTTACATAACATCCTTCCAAATAAAAATATCCCCATCCATTCACCCACTAAAATACTCTATCAAAAAGATCTCTTTTATTCCCATCTTTAAGTCATTGAGTGTCTTTTCTATCCTTTAATTCCCTCAATTTCTAAAATTAAGTTATAAACTCATTCAACGCCATGTGTATTCTTTGGTTATCCATCCAATCATAGGGGATGTTATGTTTTACGAGTTGTTAAGTCATAAAATGTTCATTTCTCAACATGTTATTTTTGAAGAAAACATGTTTCCCTTTTCTAACATAAGTGCTCGTACAACAATTGTTTAGAATTTTTTAGATAATTACTCCACATATTTTCTTAATCCTTATTATTATGCCACCTCTCCACCAAATAATTCAACCCTTAATAACCTTTAACCTAACACCTCACAAACCCCAACCTCAACCGACATATCCTTCCCAACACATCCTCTTTACCCCTCACAACCCACCCTCAACATCGAACTCTTCATAAACACCTTTATTTTCTTCTCTTTCAAACCAATTCCAAAATTAAACCTTGAAAACTACCTTGTCTCCCACATTTTTCCGTCACTAGCAATTCCACCATAATCGCCTCAAATGATTACCTGAGCAGAACATGACATTGTTAAACCCCACAAGCTCTTTAACCTTCACACCTCATGTCATAATAACATGTCTCCCTTACATGAAAACCATATTTATGCATTAAACGATTTTAATTGGAAGATGACCATGAAAGACGAATATGATGCTCTTATTGAAAATAAAACGTGGGACTTAGTTGCCTATCCATATAATGCTAATGTTATTCAAAATTTGTGTGTTTTCAAGCATAGAAATAATTATAATGGATCTTTTAGCTGTACAAAATTTTCCTTGTAAGTAACCATAAAAATCAACAAATTGGTGTCAATTATAGTGAAAATACTAACCTTGTAGCCAATTTGTCTACTATTCGCATAACATTTGGTGTTTCCTAGTCAAAATCATGGTGCCTTCAACAATTAGATATTAAAAAATGCTTATTTTCACAGAAATGTTGATAAAACAATGTACATATGTGTTTGCTCAAGTGTCTTTGTGGACTTAAACAAGCACCACATGCATGGTATAAGTGATTAATTGATTATGTCATTATGATGGCATTCTCTCACGAAATTCCTTATCACTCATTCTTTATTTATCATTATGGCAATGACATCACCGATATTCTTATGGATGTGAATGAAATTATCCATATTTCTTCATTCAACTCCCTTCGTGAGTATATTGTCCAAGTCACGTTCTTAATTTTCAATGAAGGATCTTTGTTCATTGAGTTATTTTTTAGGTATATATGTTACAAGATATTCAAGAGGATTTTTTTATGCAAAATAGATTATTGAATGTGCATGTATGTCCTCTTACAAGCCATCACCTACACCGGTGGACACCAAGGAGAAATTTAGTGGGTCTTTAGGTAACCCTTATTATCATTTAACATAACATTTTTGTCTTGTCGGCGCATTACATTACTTATCATTTAGAAGATCATACATAACATATGCAGTTCATCAAGTTTGCCTATTTATACATGACTCAAAAACACAACACATGTCTTCCTTAAAATAGATAATTTGGTATATTCATGGCACTGTTAAGTTAACCTTAGTATATACCCCTCCTACACCAACAATCTCATCTCTTACATAGACGCTGACTGAGTTGGATGTTTAGACACAATAAGTCTACATATGACTTGTTTGTATCTTGGTGATAACTTGATCTACTGGCCTGCAAAATGTCAACATACCTCGTCTGGATTGAGCACGCAGGTCGAATACCCAAGAGTTGATAATTTAGTGTGTGAATTGTGCTGGATTGAAAATATAATTTTAGAACTACATTATCCTATTACAAAATCTACTCTAGTCTATTGTGACAACGCCAATAAATTGTACCTCTCCTACAATCTAGTTCAACAACAACACACCAAACATATTGAAATGGATATACACTTTGTACGTGAAAAAGTTTCTCACATTTAAGTAAAAGTATTACAAATTCCCTCCTAATATCAATTTTCTTATATATTCACAAAGGGACTTTTATTGCAAGTCCTTGATGATTTTAAAGATACTCTCAATATTCTTTTATCTCTGATTTTGACTATGAGGGTGTATTAGACTATGTAAATATAGAAAGAATTTTATTATACTTTGTTGTAAATGATTGGTTATTATTGTGTGAGAATCATTAGAAGATATGTTAAAGGCATTTTAACAATCAATTGAGGCAAACCAATCATTAATATGTCATAAATATTGGTTAAAACTTGAGCGGAGGTTTTTGTTTAATGCGGGGGCTTAGATTTGACGGGTGTAGACGGGATTTTTGGATGATCATAATTGATAGATAATTCTACGGAATAACAACAGAATTCCTGGTGTTAATGGTCGAAGATGATAATGAACAATGAAATATAGATTAATTTATTGAGAATCATGGTTGAACCCAAGAAAAGATATAAATAAAATAAGAGATAATTGAATTGTTTTGTATTGATTCAAATGATAAGATTGATGTTACGATGAATATATGATACAATTTATATATTGATCATGACCAACTAACAAATCTTAATTAACTTGTAATAAAAATAACTAACTAATAACTACGGATAAGAAATATAAAAACCAACTCTAACACTTTCACTTAAGTTGGAATATGGATTATTATTTCCAACTTGAAAAAAAAAACAATGCAATCCAAGAAAAAATAAAATACAATGTTGCTCATTAAAGAAAGTTATAACAAAAAAAATATACAAACCGAAATTACATCGCCTAAGAAATATTTGATGTCGATAGCGGTACTAATAGAGGTGTTTAACTCATAGAAGACTTTAATCTACTTTGGGAGAAAATCTTCCAATGTTTCCTTGGATCTCACTTTAATAGAATCGATAAACTCAATATTGAGTCTTCAAATGTCAAATTTTTGCTACCAAAACTTAACCACCATATGATATGATGGAAGCACAAAGAGAATAGAAAATATTAATTACCATAGGATATAATATATAGATAATGAAAGTTGATAAACTACCATAAGGTATATAAAGTGTGAACACAAAGATAATAAAAATGCTTAAGTATAATATTGTAGAAGCATATAGAACTACCATTAAATATAAAATATTTATTGGAAAAATTCCGAGTTTCATATTTATTAGAGATAGAGCGTTGAAAATGTTTATATAGAGTGACATCTCTCATCTTACAAGATGGTTTTTAAGTCAGTTTTGTAAAGATGAGTTAGGTCAAACTCTAATATAACATCAGAGTCTATCGATCGGATTTTGGACCGTCCACCGTTTAATCACAAACCAAACCCAAAAAGTGTGTTGAATGTGAAGGGTGTATTGGGAAAATCACAAGTCTCACATTGGTTGGAGATAGAGTATTAAAAAGTGATATAGTATTGAAAGAGTTTATATAGAGTGACACCCCTCACATTACAAGTCAATTTTGTAAGGATGAGTTAGGCTAAATTCTAATTACATTAAAGAAAGTTATGAATGGCTAAACCAAAATTAAAGAATCATACCATCAAAATAATTGAGGTGTGTGAGAAACTTTAACAAATATATGATATTACAAATCATTTGATAAAATAACACAATTATTGTCGTAGTAAAAACGGTGGTTGATGATCAAAATGAAAGAATATAGTGAAATGGAAAAAATAGAAAGAAAGATGGAGGTAATTGGGGGTTATCTCCAATGATAAATAGAATCATCTCTTCTTCATGATGACAACTTTTGCTCTGAAAATATGTTGAAGAGTATCATTGAGCCTAAGAAAAGAGAGAAATAAAATAAGAAATGATTAAATTATTTTATATTGATTCAAATGATAAGAGCATTATTACAATGAAAACATGATATTATAAAATATATTAATCATGATCAACTAAAATTTTTTAATTAACTTGTAACATAACTAACTAATAAATATTTATAACAAATATAACAACTAACTCTAAGATACTTTAATAGGAAGAAATTGTTTTTTTTCTAGAGCTTATCTCTCAACTTTCTAATACCTATATGTTATTCTGGCGATTGGAATTGAATTGTGATATAAGGATACATACCTTTAAAGATTTATATTTTATGTTGTTCATCTCAAAAAATTTATTATTTTGAAAACGAGGGAGTAATATAGTGTTTTTTCGTGTGCCATTCTAGTGCAGAAACCTATCGATTTAATTAACCTCGAATTTTGGATGCACCAGGTAGCTGTAGCCGCAAAGCAAAGAGGAGCTTCAAAGATTATAGGAGTCGATCTAAATGAGGACAAATTTGAAATAGGTTTTTCTCAAACTTTATTTTCATTGAAACTTGTGTTTAAACACTATACATGTTTTCCTTTTACAACTATGAATCTTGAGAACCATAAGTTTCTTGTTCATCATACACAGGAAAACGATTTGGCATAACTGATTTCCTGAATCCTTCCACTTGCAAAGAGAAGTCTGTGAGCGAGGTAGGTTAAATATGTGTATGCATGGATCGCGCGCAACATATGGATTGGAATGAATAATTTTATTTTCTCTCCTCACAGGTGATTAAGGATATGACAAATGGAGGTGCTGATTATTGCTTCGAGTGCATCGGTTTGGCATCATTAATGGCAGAAGCTTTCAATAGCAGTAGAGAAGTTTGTTTTCTATACACTTCAAAACCTAAACATGCATGTGCACACATTTGAATGCAGTTAACTTTGATTAATGGTTGTTATGGTCAGGGTTGGGGGAAGACAGTGATAATAGGGGTGGAAATGCACGGTTCGCCATTGACATTAAGTCCTTATGACATACTGAAAGGCAAAACTATCACTGGATCACTATTTGGAGGTTTGAAACCAAAATCTGATATTCCCCTCCTTGCTCAGAAGTACTTAGATGATGTAAGTGATAATCACTAAATAATACTAGTATGCATTAGTATATACTTTTTTGCATTCCAAACATAGAATTATTGTGATTGGTTATGACATATATATATTTATGTTACAGGAGCTTAACTTGGATGGTTTCATAACACAAGAGGTGGACTTCAAAGATATTAATAAAGCTTTTGATTATCTCCAACAAGGAAAGAGCATTCGTTGCATTATAAGGATGGGTGATTAACTAATTAGACAACATTTTCCTGTAACCTTAAAACTACTTCATCTCTTACATATTATAAGCAAATTTTACTTTTTAGATATATTAAATAATTAATGTATCTGATCTATATATAGATCAGATATATTAAATATTTAATGTATTTAAAAAGTAAAATTTACTTGTAATATAAAACGGAGGGAGTATGTCTTCCCTTTATTTTCAATGTATGATAGTAAATTTTTGTCAAAATAAAATTTAAAAAATAAACAACTTCATAAATAAATTGGTTAGTAATACTAATGCAAGTTTATCACAACTCTCTTACTACTACTCTTTTAGAGCCTCTATACATATATATATATTTCTTGATTCTTTGGAATGCTAGAAGTTATTATGAAGTGTTTAGTGATCATAAGTAGCATGGGATGTATATGATAAATCTCATCCATTTCTAAGTATGAGTCTCATTCAATCATTCAACAAGATGAATTATCATCTATGAGAGAAGAAAATAATTGTGCATATTGGAAAGATCTGCTTGGAAGCACTATGTATCAACCTTTGTGTTACAAAATCACAAGATTAGAGAGATGAAGATTCATCTTATTTGAAAAATAAACTTGAGAGTTTGATGGAAAAGAATATTTCTTTACAAGATGAAAATAGCAAACCATTTCAACTACAACTTTTACACTAAGGAGATTAAAAACTATCACTAAACACACAAATTCTAAGCCCCAAATACAACCAAAAGATTATAGTTATTTTAGTGAATAAAACTAAAACCAATTCTCCATATTTATAATAATTGTATAGTTGTTTTCTTCACACTACTCAATATAGAATTTAGATCAATACCTACTTTAACACATCACTGTGCATGCCTTTGAAGGTGACATCAATGCTAACATTTTTGTAAATTATCTCATATTTTGACAATTTTAGATTTGGAGAGCTGGATATCCATGTTGGTGGAAGGTTCTCTTCATTGTAGAAGCAATTTTGGAAAAAGAAATATGGGACTTACACGACAAATAAACGATGTTTTTCACTCCATTTCATGTTTTATTTTCTAATTTCTATCAAAACTCACAAATTCTTTTAATCATAAAAATAACACTTGTAAAAAAAGTGAATGATACTCTACGATTTCAACTGAAATCAAATATGAAGATTGTTTTGATATGACTTAAAACCTTGAGCGAGAAACGATAAAAAAATATTTCGGTAGCTTATATATTTCAATAATTATGTTTGATGATCTAGACTGTTGTACTAGAGTTGAGTATGGAGTGTGGAAGATTTTGCATGGTGGAGTGATCGTGGTTAAAGGGTCTAAAATTTATAGTTTTTATACTTTAGAAGGTTTCAATGTTATTGATCATTCATCTTTATCTAATGAAGATTTTTAAGACAAGAACAAACTATGAGATTACTATGAGATTTGATGTTAATGCATGCTTAGATGCCTAAAGGTTATTTTAGGACACTTTAATGGATTTTGTTGGAGACAGGAGATAAAAATGCATTTGACTGCTTATGAAGTGGCGCTAGATGCTAAGTTTCCATTGAGTTTATAGGACAAGTATCCATTTGCATGAATAGATTTCTACATACCTATGGATGTTTAGAGTAAGAAACATGTTACTACTTTTATTTGAGGGTCGTTAAAGCCTTATCAAAATGCGTATATCAAGTTATTCTTGCTTGATAGTATAGTTGTGAAGTGTGTCTTCTAGGATTATCTAGAAGGCAAGAAGGGTTATGAGCAGTGGAGAGTAGAACATGAAGGATCAAAGTTCATCATAAGAAGATATATTACTTTTTATGAGTCTGGTAAGAGAATGAGGAGTAAAAATCTAAAGATGAAGATATTAGAAACTATGGGGAATAAGATTTTGTTTGAGGTAGGGATTCCTATTATGGATACTATTAGAAGTGAGAGAACAATTATAGTTGTTTTAATTATCATTTGACTTGTGATAAATTAAGAAGGGAGATTGTTCCATTTAAGGGATACAATTATGTTTGTGTTAGTAGTTATGATTTGAATGTGGCTGAAGAGTTGTCAAACCCAGAATCATGAACCTCCAGGAAGACAGTTTAAAGCAAAAGGAGTTAAAGATGGCTGAAGAATCATACTTGTGAGTTTTGTGACTACTTAAGCAAGAAAAAGTGGTTGGAAGCAAGTGCAATGGTCAAGGTTCAAATGTGGCTCGAATTTGATTAAGGGTGTTGAATGAAGATTCAAATCAGAGAAATCCCCAAGGTTGTTGATGGATAAATAGACCTCACTATAGATTTAATGTCAATATGAAAATTTGTATAATTATGCCTTAAAAATTTAAGTAATGAAGATAAGAAACACATATTTCGAGATTTCAAATAGTTAAATCGTGAGAAAGAATCATGAAAGTCGACGGAGCAGGCCAGAGCATGGGGGAGACCTGGTGTCTAGCAAGAAAGTTAGTAGCAAAAGAGCCATGGAAGTGGGGGACCTAGAAGTCGTTGATGACGACAGGTTTAACGGTCGACGGTCCACACATTTGTCCATGAAAGCTCTATGTCGGAGTTCGCTTGTTGTTAGCATGGTAGATCTAAATCAATATGATGTGCATGTATAATGGTCAATTGATTTTGGTGATGATAATTGTTGACAACTCCATAAGTAAAACATTGTTTGGATGATTATAGCTTTTTTCAAGAGTTCTTTGTGACAAATGTCAAAGGAGAAGTTTATTGTAACTATCTGATAAGCTTCTTATGGTGGCATCTGACAAAGAAGATACCTCAAGCATCATCAATCAGATGATTCAAGGATCCAATTAAAGTCCTAATCAATTTTTGAATAAAAAAAAAAGGTTCTTGAAGTTTGAAAGATAAAAAGTGTGAAAGCTCGCATGGTCCTATGCTTAGCATCTTAGATTGACCAGTTTAAAATTTAAAAGATCAAGAGTATGTCTTGAAGTATTAAGGCAATCACATACACACACATATAAAATCTTACCGAACCCTCTCTATTTTTATTAAAACTTCTTTAAATTATATCAAGGCATGTATATAATTGATTAAGAAGTGTTTCTAATTAATTAAGAATGATAACTCACTACTTAATCGATTAAGGACCTGGTCCAATTGATTAAAGTAAGGAGGAAAATCTTCTAATCTCTTAGAAATGATATTAATCAATTAACTCATATAGTTATTTTATGGTTTATGGGCTGATCCTGTAAAAGCTCAAGTCTAATTTTAGTGAAACTCTCAAGAGGTGACTCTTAGGGGCAGGAGTAAGTCAAGTGGTTAGGCCGAACCTATATAAATCTTTGGTTCACTATCTATCTTTTCTCTTATATTTTTCGTTATTTATTTTCTTTTGATTGTGTATCTCTTTTCTTCTTCGTCTTATTTCTAGTTTTGCAATGTTATATCTCTTTTTATTTATATATAAATATTTTTGAAAATAAAAGTTTTTATAAATTAATTACACATTTTGAATATTATGATTCACCATTCCTCTTGCGTTTGGAGTCACTTTCCTAACACATAAGTCGTTGATGACAATGCGTATTATGGCCTACGAACTGCGCAATGTTCACGACAGTGCCCAAAGGCGGCGTTGGACCTTTCCCGGTGGTAGTCGTGGAGCTCTGACTATCCGCCATGGAGTGCTGCCGATTGCTGACAACAACGACTGATCAGCAGCGACAAGTCATGTTCGGAGAGTAGCTGGTCCAATTTTGGTGGTTAATGGGTATCAAGTTGATTGTTTCAATGCATATTCGTTTGTTAATTAGTTGCATTTTGGTCCCGTTATGGATCTTTTAATTTTCAACAACTATATATATGTACATTTATCACATTTATGACTATTTTCTTGTAACTTTTTTTGTAATCTCTTGTAATAATTGTAGAAAAGATAGTGAATTGGAGATTTGCTCTCTCCCCATAGTAGATTGATTTAAACGAATGGGGTAAATAAGTTATTTTTGTTCATCTCTTTTATCTTCCTCTTGCTTGCTTTGAATTTGCATACAATGGTTGTAGTTTATTTTGTTGTGTGAAGCCATTTATTTTGGTTAATATTAATCTTTGTCTCACTCATCTTTACTATCAACAAAATTAATATTATTGTTATATTTCAACAATAGCTTAATGCGTTGAGCCTTGTTAGACGAGGGTAACAGTCTAGAAGGGGGGAGGATTGAATAGATCGCTAAAAAAAATTCTTATTAAAATTATGTTTTGAAAAGTATTTTTCTATGGCAAGCAGAAGCAAATCCGGATGAACTCTCGTCTATCTGAACCGTTATTGGTAGAATCAGATATGCATACAAACCGTAGTAAAATGTATGCAAAAGATGAGAAAAGTCAATCAATATGATTTATTTGAATATAAACCACACTAAGATTAAAAAAATTCCAATGAGAAGTAAAATAAAACTTGACTCAGGAATTTGGTCAAACACTTAGTGTGTAGTTAAAATATCAAACACTTGGTGTGCAATACACCAAACTTAATTCACTTTATGTTGAAGTTGTAACAAATCAATTGCAATTGTTTAGATTGCAATGGTTTTACAAAAACAATTCTAAACACTTCAACACAACCAGAACTTTCAACAATTCAAAGTACACACTAATTATTCTAAAAATGTAGAGAGAGAGAGAGAGAGAGAGAGAGAGAGAGAGAGAGATTTATGAAATTGTCCTTACTATGGGTACGTATGCTCTTAATTCGAAATCAAATTGAGATATTGTAATTAACCTTTGCAATATCAATTTACAAGAGACGTAATAATAATTCAACCCCCTAAACTCTATGTTTGATGTTGATCCTAGATCTTTCTCTTCCCTTGATCTTAGCAAGATCAAGTGAAACAAGATCTCCAATATGATCCTCCCGTTACCAATACTCCTTTAAATTAACTACCATTCTTCAAAGCTTTCACTCGGTTGAATCCAAGTTGTGAAATCTTTCCCTAATCCTTTCAAATGATCCTCCAGTTACCGCTACTCCTTTG